GATGCAGTGAGAGCGTGGATGCAGTGAGAGTGTAGATGCAGTGAGAGTGTGGATGCAGTGAGAGTGCGGATGCAGAGAGAGTACGGATGCAGTGAGAGTGTGTGCAGTGAGAGTGTGGATGTAGTGAGAGTGTGGATGCAGTGAGAGTGTGGATGCAGAGAGAGTACGGATGCAGTGAGAGTGTGGATGCAGTGAGAGTGCGGATGCAGTGAGAGTGTGGATGCAGTGACAGCATGGATGCCATGAGAGGAGCTGCATGATGTAGTGAGAGTACGGATGCAGTGAGAGCGTGGATGCAGTGAGAGTGCGGATGCAGTGAGAGCGTGGATGTAGTGAGAGCATAGATGCAGTGAGAGCGTGGATGCAGTGAGAGCGTGGATGTAGTGAGAGCGCAGATGCAGTGAGAGCGTGGATGCAGTGAGAGTGTGGATGCAGTGAGAGCGCGGATGCAGTGAGAGTAGTGCGGATGCAGTGAGAGCGTGGATGCAGTGAGAGCATAGATGCAGTGAGAGCGTGGATGTAGTGAGAGTGTGGATGCAGTGAGAGCGTGGATGCAGTGAGAGCATGGATGCTGTGAGAGTGTGGATGCAGTGAGAGCGTGGATGCCATGAGAGGAGCTGCATGTGAGCAGCAATGAGGATCAAGGGCCCAGGGGCAGGAGGTAGACTGCTTCTCTCCAACAGAAGACTGGAGCAAATGGAGGATGAGTCAGGAAAGCAACATTTGGCTGTGGGAAGAGAGGAATCTCTAGAGGAGGGTGGCCCAGGGAAAAGCTGCCAAACAATGGGACCTGCAGAAGACAAGGATCTGGGAGCCAGTGATGGCTAGAGCTCTCTCTGTGCAAGACTCAGAAAGAGGACACTTGGTCTTCCCGAGAGCCCTGTGGCACTGGGTTGGCATAGTTGGGAAGATGTCTGTGTATGGGCAAGAGTATGGAAAAAGGCAGAGGTCAGACATGTAAGGTCAGTGAGGGGAGAAACAACCCGAGGACAACAGTTCCTAAATGCAGCAAAGGGAATCAGAAAGGTCCTAGAGCCCATACACAGGAACATGGATGATTTTGTTGGATGATTGGAACCCACACCCCTGACTACCCAGTCACCTTATATGGTGGTTCCTTTGAAGTCCCAGAACCCCTTAGCCCTAGTCCTAGAAGACTCTTCAAGAACCAAACTTCTATAAGTTCTTTTTACTTTATTGAAAAGCATGACCTCCCCACAGGGGGAGCCAAGGACACACCTTCCTCCTCCCCCGCCTTTTCCCTGCTTGCTGCCATCTTCCTCCCTCTCTCTCTTTCTAAACCTTCTCCCACATCAGTCTCTTCCTGTCCCCTTAGCATCTGATGACATGTAAGCTGGGGACACAGAGAGTCCGGGAACCAAAGGATGCCCTACAGAAGCTTCAGGAGATGGATGCACAGGGTCGAGTGTGGAGCCAAGACCTGATCCTGCAGGTCAAAGATGGCTGGCTCCAGCTGCTGGACATTGAGACTAAGGTCAGCCTTCTCTGCAAATCCAGCCGTGGGCCCTGACTAACCCAGGAGGCTAAAGAGCAAGCACCAGGCTCTCTACCTGCCTCTCAGTGCCTCTCCACATCCAATGCACATCCAAAACCAGGGAGAGGCAGGACAGGACTGGGGACAGAGGCATATGAATCAGGGTAGAGAATCTACCCAGCCCACCAGAGAGCAGGGATGGACTTTCAGGGTCTCAGTGACCTGATATTTGGCCTTTCCACCTGCCTTAGGAGGACCTGGATTCTTACCGCCTGGACAACATCAAGGCCATGGATGTAGCTCTCAACACCTGTTCCTACAACTCCATCTTATCCGTCACTGTGCAGGAGTCTGGCCTGCCAGCCACTAGCACTTTGCTCTTCCAATGCCAGGAAGTAGGGGTGAGTGACCGGTGTAGTGGCCTGGGTTGGAGTTTGGTGGCTCAGGACTGAGGGCCATATCCTGGCCACACATTTGAAGAATTCATGATCCTGGGACCTAACAAACACATTCCAAGAACTAATGAAGGCTTAGACCAATGAAGGGTGTTGGGAAGGTATTGGGTGCATTGGTTGCTGTCTCTAGAGGCCGTTATAGAATCCAGGCAGGCCCAGGAACCAATCAGGTGAAGCACAGTGGAGTCAGGGAAGGCTCCAGAAGAGACTAAGGGGCAGGAGGGGGTCCTGGTGAGAGATGGTGATGCCCATGGGCACTGCGGCAGAAGTGTGGGCTTGGGTATCTGTCTCTAGAATTTTTTCAAGGCTGTATCTTTCACCACACCCTCAGCAGACCTCGATTTGGAGTCCTTCATCCAGGCCAGGACAGACGGAAGGAATATCCTCTGGAAAGGCCAATCCCTATACGACAGGCATCCCCTCTGGAGCAGAGGTCCCCTCTGGAGCAGAGGTTTCCTCTAGAACGGCCACCCCACATGACCCCAGAACGCAGTAAGTTTGTGCCTGAAGGCGAGTGGAGGAGATGGTGGTTTGGATCTTGGATCAAGTCAAAAGAGTTCCAGGCTCATGGTCTCCCCACATCCACCGCAGGCATCCCACCATCCCCAAGGTCCCTGATACAATACCCAAATGCCCGAGAACCAAGTGACTTCACTCTGCCTCCTCCTCCAAGGCGTGCTGCATCTCCTGAGGACCCAGGGATGGATGAGGTAACCGAAGGTGGTCAGAGGCTTGCTGGGGCTTCCTGGACTTGGGAAAAAGGGAGAGTCTACTCTCAGGAACCCGGATTCCCAGGGTAGACAGGGCAGGTCTGCGACTGAGGTGGCACTGAGGTGCTTGTGGTGGAATGATAGCAAGGCAGGGGGTGTTGGGGTTTTCATGACTGTCCACTAAAAGCCATTGGTTGTTGGGGGTCCAGGAAGTGCTGAACCATGTTCTAAGAGACATTGAGCTGTTTGCTGGAAAGGTGAAGGAGGCCAAAGCAAAGGACAGTCATAAGAAGAAAAAATTTGGGAGAAAAAAGAACAAGGCTCAAAACAGTAAGTACTTCATGCCAGGAAGGGGAGCAGGGTATTTTGGGGGGATCTGGAGATCTCACACCTCACATCTGCATGCCAGGAAGGGGAGCAGGGTATTTTGGGGGGATCTGGAGATCTCACATCTATTCCTTCTCCCACAGAGATAACACAAGCACAGTACATTGATTGCTTCCAAAAGGTCAAGTTCAGCTTCAACCTCCTGGTTAGTGGCTCCAGCCAGTTCTGGTCCATTCTCCCCTAGCTCCCTCTCTCTCTGACATCAGACACCCAAGTCTTTCCCTTTTTCCTTTCTTTCTTCTCTTTTCCCTTTTCCCTTCTTTCCCAGATTCTCCTTCTCTTGGAACTTTTGAAGGGTACCAGGCTCTGAGCCAAAACACAAAACACATATGGGGTGCTAGGGTTCTGGTGAAGGTAAATGGAACCAACATTGTCCTGTGTCTTCAGGGGAAGCTGGCCTTACGGCTGCAGGAAACAAGTGCCCCTGAGTTCGTGGACCTCATCTTCCAAACCCTGAAACTCGTGAGTGGAGGGCAGACAGGGTGGGAAAAGAGAAAAGCTGAAGCCAAGGAGGAGCAGAGGGAGGAACAGAGCCAGGGGAAGTGCCGGGACAGAGGGAGCTGTGGGACCTGCCCTTTATTTGCCATATATCTTCATACCAGGGTACCACTTAAGACAAACCCCCCAGCAGACCTGATGGGCTGGCAACAGAGTCAAGGACATCAAACTTTGAGGGAACAGGCAGGAAGTGAGGAGACAGAGCTGAGGGGTTTGTGGATAATTCCTACTCCTTTCTTGCCTGGGTGCGCCAATGCCTTCTCTTTCCTCCAGATCCTGTCCCAGTGTCCCGACACTGGCCTTACAGCCAAAGTGATCTCACCCCTCCTCACCCCTAAAGCCATAGACCTGCTGGAGTCCTGCCTAAGGCCACCCGAGAATGCTCTCTGGAAGTCACTAGGCTTAGCCTGGACCACCAGCTGGTAAGTAAAGACAAGAGACAGGGAGGACACAAAGCAGGACATGATGGGTAGCCTGGTGGTACACTATCACAAACCAGAGACATATCCAGAGACTGTGGGGGGGGGGGATACTACATGATGTTCCCAACTTTTTACCCAGTGAAGAAACATACTACTTCGGGGGGTGGGGGGACCAATGCCAATCTTCTAGTAAAATGTACACTTGTTTTCACCAGGGACAAAGTGAGAATGACTGATACAGAGATGCCAAGCTATAACATATGAAAGTTAACCCAGCAAGCTTCAGGACAGGAGTTAAGAGAAGCCAAGCTGCTGGGGTTGGAGGAACGGGGAGACATAGGGCCATTTAGACAGCCTGGGGATTGGGAAGGAAACTGACATGAATACCTGGGCCAACATGGCACAGGAACAGTCTACAGAGGCCACACATCTGGGTCCCAGCTGAGAGGTCCCAACTGTGGGATAGAACAGTAGCAGAGTGTCAGGTAGGCCACAGTGAGAGGCTGGTGAGGAATCCAGTGCAAGCCCCTGACCTTGCTTCCTCAAACACTGTATGTAGCAGAGGGTAGGGCTCTGAGAAATGTTACAGGAAGAAGGCAGAAGGAAAAGCAGGAAGAAGGCAAAAAGAAATCACAGAAATGCTGGGCTGGGCATGGTGGCACATGCCTTTAAGGAGGCAGAGGCAGGCGGATCTCTGTGAGTTCAAGGCCAGCCTGGTCTACAGAGCGAATTCCAGGACAGCCAGGACTGTTACATAGAGAAACCCTGTCAAAAAAAGAGAAAGAAAGAGGTGGGTGGGAGAGGAGAGAGAGGGGGGTCTAAAAAGAGAACTCGAAGAGCATAGGGATGCAAACTAAAAGAGAACAAAAAGAGCCCAGAGCTATCAGCAGGCAGACAAGTCAGCTGAGAGCCTGGTGCTCCCGAAGGAGACCCCCATATATTTGCCTAAAGAGCAGTTCTTTTCAGTTCAGGCCCATAAGAAATTTCTGTCCAGTTAGCTTAAAGACATGAGTTAGTCTCAGTGCAACCTACATACATAACATGATAATATACAGATTTCAGTATATAATTCAGTAGTGTTAAGTAAATATCGATACAGTGCACCAACACCACTCTCTAGCTCGAGAGCTTTCTCACCCCAAACAGAAAGGCTATACCCACTAAAGATTAATTCCCCTGCCCCCACCCCCTGGCTACCTTTGCTCTATGTCCATATCAGTTTGCCTATTCTAGGGACTTCATGTAAGTGAAATAAGACATGGGTCACCTTTTTGTGACTGGCTGATTTTAATAGTATGTCCTCAAAATTCATCCGTATTTCAGCATGTGACAAAACTTCCTTCCTTTTGTGATTGACTAATATTGCATTGTATGGACAAGCTGCATTTTGTTTATTCTTTATTCATCAATGGGCATTTAGATTGTTTAAACCCGAATGGTCTATTTTATGTGCTTTATTTGTCGAGTCACTAAGATGAAGGAATTTGTAAATTCTGGACCTCTTATAACAAATGCATGGACACACACACACACACACACACACACACACAGAGTCTTAGACCCTGGATCCTGTAGCTGCCCTGGGCTTACCATCACCCATGGGGATAGTTCTGATATGTAGTACTAACCAGAGAGGAAAGCAGGGTCTGTGGTGGATCGAGATAGGCCTCAAATGCTTTTATTCAGCCCCTTTAACAACAACTATCCACATTAGGTTGTAGTAGTACTTTTTGGTCAGGACTGCAAACAACAACATGGAGACTTATTATTAATTACGAAAGCTCGGCCCTAGCTTAGGCTTGTCCTCCACTAGTTCTTACAACTTAAATTAACCCATCTACATTCTGCCACAGGGCATTGCCTCATCTTCTGTACTGCCCATCCTGCTTCCTCCACATCTGGCTGGCATCTCTCTGTGCGCCTAGATTACCTCCCCTCTTCCTCTCTCTCCCTGAAAATCGGGCCTATCCTCTCCTGCCTAGCTATTGGCCATTCAACTTTTTATTACACCAATCACAGCAACACATCTTCACACAGTGTACAATTATTCTGAAATATTAGGTATGTTGTTTTATGTTTCAAAATGCAGTATTTCTAAAAGTTTTGAGAAATAGTCTATGGCATGCCCGCTGCAAAAGCATGGGGAGCTGACCCCTCAGCACACACATAAAGGCCAAGCATGGCAGCAAGTCTGTACCCCACTGGGAGAGAGAGAGGAGGGTCCCCGGGGTGGGGCAGCCAGCCTATCTGAAGAGAAGCACAGCAGCCAAATTGGGAGGCTGTGTTTCCAAAAGTTAGGTGGAGATGGCATCAACCTCTGGCCTCCATATGCAGGAGCACACACGTTCACATGTGCACACCCCCTGCCACACACACACACACTCACATGTGCACACCCACACCGAGATGCGCATACACCACACACACACACACACACACAGACACACACACACACACACACAGACACACACACACACACACACAGACACACACACACACACACACAGACACACACACACACACACACAGACACACACACACACACACACAGACACACACACACACACACACAGACACACACACACACACACACAGACACACACACACACACACACAGACACACACACACACACACACAGACACACACACACACACACACAGACACACACACACACACACACAGACACACACACACACACACACAGACACACACACACACACACACAGACACACACACACACACACACAATCCCATGTGCACACCCCACACCGAGATGCACATACACCACACACACACACACACACATTCACACACACACA